GCATCTACATAAGATACTGACTGCGCAGTAGCTTGTTACTATTGTGCAGTAGCATCACATGGCATGAAGCATGATGTGGTGCTACTGTGCAGTAGTAACAAGCTACTGCACAGTGAGTGTCACCAAAAAGCCATTTGGGGATGCTATTATGCAGTAACACTGGTTACTGTGCAGTCATTTAGTACTTGTGTGTGCGAGTACTAAATGACTGTACAGTAATTGCGCAGTCAGCATCTCGTGTAGACATGGCCACTGAAAGGTAAAGCCCCAGTTGTTTGTAAGTTATGCCAAAGAGATGATTCACTTTTGATCTGGCACCTGACATGGCACGTGTAGAGAATATAGGAGCTGAAGTCTTATCAAGAAGTCAGTCAAACAGAACCTGAATACCCTACATGCAGATGTGCTGCCTTTTGTGCAAGCATATGTCTTTGCCAGTTCAAAGCAAGTAGACTGCTCAACCGTGATGGGGAATTCCAGCTCTCTATAAATTAATCACAAGAGATTTGGGTCAGTGGAAGTTTACCTTGGCGTCTTTTCTGTAGGTCAGATTCAGTCTTAACTGGCCTTTGAACTCTTGTGTTTAAATCCATCTTGGGAAGCTGTCATATTATGAAACAAATTACTCCCATGACCAAACCTACATAAAAACTAAGATGTAATTAAATCCCTTTGAGAGTATCTAGATGTGATATTAATGAGATGCTATAAACTTCGGTGCAAACTGCTCCCAGGCACAGCATTTACATCCATTGCCCAGGACCGCAGCATGTTGAACTGGGTCAGAGAAGCCCCAGCTGGTAGGGGGTCAACTTACTAGGCCAACTTGCCCCCTCTGGCTCAGCTGCAGATAGGCTGGCTGGGGCATGAGAATGCTACAAAGTGGAGCTAGCCCTGTACTGTAGTACCCTCACGCTTCAGCCAGCCCTGGTCACTGTCTACACCTGTTATGGCAGAGTAAATAATTCTACCATAAGATAGTACTTGTCGCAAACAGTACTAGCCTATGGTAGACCTAATTCGTTTACTCTGGCCTAATAGGGATGCATGTGTAGATGGCGATGCTTTACTGCAGAGCTACTTAGTCAACTCCACAGTAAAGCATCTTGTGTAGTTCCACTCTGTGACAGCATTTTCTTTGGAAAAGCCTAGTGATCTGGCTTGCCCCGAGAATACAGTTCAAAATGTATCCCCTGCTGAAATTCTTTTTCCCAAGCTAGCAGTCAGTGCCATTTTTCATTGGGTACGATCTCCCAACAGGCAAGGGTTAAGGGCCTGTCATAGGCTAGTAAGATTTAGATCTGATATATATAGTTCTAGTATACTGTACCTGGAGTCACTATCTATCGTTGTAGAAAGCATCTTGAAATGCAATAGCTGGATTGGAAGCCTTTGTTAATTGTCCTACTATTCCTGACATCTGAAAAAAGTGAGAACTAATAATAAGTTAGAGTCCTGGATAGTGGGAATGGATGGATATGTATGTATCAGCTAGTCTTCTGCTTTATAGAGGGATGCTTTTGATCTGTTTCCCATAACCGTATCCAGCACACAAAGAGAACCTGGATTATCCAGGATTCGGAAAAATTGTATGATGTCCTGCAGCATTATTGGAGAAATATCCTAGACCAGATTATGGAATTAGCACAGATCCCAAGCAAAAGATCAGGAGCATTTGTGCTTAATTGGTACATAATGGGTGCATCTACATGTGAAATTAAGTCAAAGCAATAAATTCTGGAGCAGTTTGAGTCTGAGTAAAATGTTCCTGGGTGCAGTGTCTACATGTGCACCTGGGACAGTAGCAATTTGAGCCAGGACAGAGCAGGCCTGGGCTGGCAGGGGCATGGGGGTCATCCCTGGGCTCCAGGTGTTGGTGTTGGGCAGTGAGGGGGCTGGCTGGGGCACTGTTTTGTTATGGAAAATTAACCATATGTGCCCAATGGGCCACTAATCCCAGGTGGACCATCAACCTTTTCTGACCCCTGTAACTAGCTATGAACTAATACCCCAGCCTAGCGTTCAGGGTTTTGACTAGAAAGTAGAGTTGTCCTATAGAGTCAAATGTGAGCCACGAGCTACAGTGACTCTATGTTACTACTCACAAGTGTACAGGAGAGGCAAAAGACCTCTAGGCTGTCCAGATACTAATGGAATAAGTCACATTCTGCCAGTCTAATTTTTCCCTTGACGTTTTAATGAGACATGAAAATCTCACTTTCCTGTCCAAGCTATCAGATCAAATAGCTTAACTCTGGTAAGTACTAGTTACGTTGTTCTAGAAGTAAATTTGTGTCAGTGGTGGGGGATAATGACCTCTTCCTAAATATAAGGGTGGATTTTTGCAAATGGCAAACAGTCTTAGTAAGTCCCAGTGGAATTTGCTGGAACTTGAGCTCCTATATCATAGAGACACATTTGAAAATATCACCTAAAATATGTCATGGGTCCAATCCTAGGCAAACATCCCTGTCATTGAGAGGTGTTTTCCAAGGTTCTAAATAAGGAAAGCTTCCTTATTCATGAAGGCATACAAAAAAACTAGAACTTTTGGTTCCAGAATGATACCTTTTA